GCCCGAGTCCCGGCGGCCGCGAGCTCCAGCCCCGGCACCAGTTGCGCCTGGAGCTCTGCAGACTCCGGGGTGGGATCTGGCCGCCACCGCGCTCCGACGGGCACGCCGTGCTCCCCTCCCCCTCGCCTCCTCCCTCCCGCCCCCCGGCGCCGCACGAAAGCCGGTCACCGCCCGGGCGACAGCTCCCCCTCCCTGTGGCTCAGCTCAGTCGCTTCCAGAAGATATCGCCCCTCCCCAGCGGGGCGCACACGCAAACCCGCGCCCGCGGGGGGTTCCCCAGAACCCGGCGGAAAAGCGACCCGCCATGACGCGGCCTCGGGATCACAGCTGTCGCCCAGTAGCCACTCGGTGACCTCCCTCCCAGACATGGATTTTTTTTTTTAATGCAGCGTGATTAGTGTCCGGTACGCGAGCTTAGACACGTAGTGTCTTGGGCTCGTGCACACACTCATACGCTCACTCGCGCACACACGCACCCGCAGCTCCACGCCCTCCCGGCTCTGGCTCCTATTACCTCATCGGGGTCCGCATCCTTAGCCGTCAGTCAAGGCTGCAGAGCCACGCCCCCTGGCTACCAGGGCGGGTGCCCTGGAACTCACTCGCCCCCTGCTGGCCCCAGGTGACAAGTGCTGACCGATGGCTGCACAGTAACTACAGCTCAAGTCCGGTCGGTCGCTGCTCTGGGGGATCCGGTCCAGAAGGAGGCAGCAACTGGTGAGTGACGGATTTATGTACTATGTAGAAAGCAACGTGATGTGTTTGCTTATGGCTCTACTAAACCTCCCTATAGTCAGAAGACTACAAATTTAATAAATTTAATTTAAATTTAATCTGCAGGATTTCTGTGACCAATACATGAGAGGCGAGACAGACACAAGTTAAACTTGGTTATTTTGTCAATGGTCAACGTGGAAATAATCTGAAATGAGTGGATTCTGACTAAGAGCACAGATTGATGTCAGATTCCATGTTCATGTAGCCAGCAAGCATAAACATTGGTCTGCTGAGACTGTAGCCATATTAACAGCAAATTCATATCATTAAGATCCACGATAGGACATAGACAAATGAAAATAGATTTTGTTAGGGACTGGAGCTATAAATCTCATCATCTTTCAGTCTCATGATTATTGCTTTAGAAGATTTGCTTTCCTTCTTTTTTGCTTTCTCTTGAAAGACAGCTGTCTCTTCGCCCATTATTAGTATTTTCCAAACCTTTTCCTGCCTTTTCTATCTACTCACAGAGTCCTAACCATACATCAAAAAGGAAAACATCAGACACATAAACACATACACAAAAACAAAGACAACAGTCTTTTTTCAAGCCTCTAAAAGCACTGGGCACAATGAGACCTCTGACTTTAGTTCTTGCTGTTAGCCTTGCCCAGAAATCTTCCCAGAATCTTTCCAGAATCTTCAGGACGCCTCTCCCTGAAGGCCAGACTCAATCAACACCATTCATTAAAGCTGAATTTCAGGGATTGAAGGGCAAAAGAAAAGGATCAAGCCTACCAAGAGCCATCATTATTCCCATTTTACAAGTAACAAGGCTTAGAGAATTTAAATTGTTTGCCCCAAGTTACCTGTTTAGTCAATTTTTGCTGGAAATTGGTATTCAAAACATAGGCTTTGAAATGGAAAAAAAAAGTACACAGTTCAAGAGTTGGGAAATGCACTTCAAATTCACATGGTTTTACATTAGCTTGTATAGTGTTAAAACACATTTTCCCTGAACATATCAAAGCCTTTACAACATGAATAAGTGGCACTCTAAGAAAACTTAAGCTCCAAAAACAATGTTGATTCCATACATATAATATGACAAGGAACTGATAGAATAAGAGGCGAGGCAGAAATCAAAGTAAAAGTGTTTTGATGTGAAAGAAGGGGAGTGAGAACAGAAGTAGCATTGATCAAAAGGCAATCTAATGTTTTCTTGACTTATTTTTACTTCCAATCAGAAGACCAAGAGCATGAAGACTAACCTTTCTTGTGATCTGGGCAAAAAACTATCAAGGGGTTGCTGGAAGTACCAAGGAGAAAATAGCACCTGACCAACTAAGAGTAACAAATGTTAGATTGTCTGATTTTTTTTTTTTTGGTTTGTGTTTTAGCCTTTTTTGAGAGATGAATGGGAAAGGCAAAGAACCTGGTTCCTATAAATGTCCGCCTGATTTTGTATCTAGTCTTCATGTATCTGCCAAGGTCAACATTGTAAAACAAACATGAGATACATGAGAGTGTTTGTATAGAACCTGTTTCATTTGCAAGAGAAAGTAAATATACAGGTAACTTGACACTCATAATCAATTACAGTTGTAAAGTGTACCCAGTTTGGATAAGGGAATTTATAATTTATAAAAACCCACTGTTGAAAATTTCTAACTATATCCATATAAATATGTATATATTTCTTAGACCTTCTAAGGCAATACTAATATTACTATACTGTTCCATGAAAGCCTAAAAGCTTCAGACATTCCATTTTAGTATCCAAACTGTATCTCCCAAATCGCTTCCTGTTCCTGACCATAAGTGGCATGGTAGTCTTTAATTAAATGATGTGCCCAATTTGTAATCTGGAATATTAAAACCTCACTAATCAATGGAATGCATTGAATGGAATGCATTCACTCTGAATTGTTCAAAGGTGTAATTCGATATATTTCCAAAAATTCCATGATTGCTTAACATCAAATTTCAACAAAAAGTCATTCTCATATTTTTCTGTGGAATGCAGCAACAATTTACTTCGCAATTTGGAAAGGGCTGGATGAGGAGCGCTAACCTCCCCTCAGCTCTGCACAGAGCCCAAGCAGCTTGAAAGATTGCTGGGGCTTGTCCATTAAATGATTAGTCCTCAATGCTGGTTGTCATCTGGGGTTACCTATATGTGCCTGGTGACCTTTTTCGGGACATAAAGTTTAGATTCCAAGTGAAAGTGGCCAAGAGAAGAGCCAGACAGAAGCTGCATTGCTTTTTAAAAATAAACACTTTATTTATTTTGAAAGAACTATAGGTGCACACACAGGCAGTTGTAGGAAATATGACAGAGATAACATGTACCCTGTACCCCCATATGACCTAATGGTAATGACTTATAAAATTGTACTTACAAACTAAACAATGATATGACATGATATGGCATTAGTATGATTATTGCTTTTGATGAAGTTACCATTTTGGAATTTTTAAATACATCTTTACTCCTCAGATGCACACCTTATCTTTTTCAAATTCTAATCATTTTGTCTTGAGAAGTAACTTGACGTTCATTCACACATCACTGTACCAAAGAGGTACACTAAGAAATTGATATTTCAGAGAGGATATGAATATTCAGTAAACGAAAAGTTTCTAATTTAGTCTAATGCGAGTATCTTACTTTTACACTAGATCTATTTGGAAATTAATGAGCAGAACTTTGAACTTTCCTAAAGGAGCTACTTTTTTTTT